TCCCCGAATCCCAAATCCTAGCACAATCCCTCCCCCTTTAAAAAAAAATTCCCCTCCTTGCACAGATCCCCTGCCCCCTCTACCCTATTACCTTTTCTAGCACGAATCCCCCAAATCCTCCCTCCTAGCACAGATGCTCTTACCCCATCCCCCCTCCCAATGCAAATCCCCCCACATAACTACTCCCCACAATTTCCTGTCCTAGAACAATTCTTACCCCCTGCCACCCCCCAAATTCCCCTTCCCCAAATCTCTTTCCCCCAATCTCCTCATGGTGCCCCCATACTCACATGATAGCACAGTGCCCAGAGCAGCCGTCCCTCCTACCCACCCCTTGTCCTGGCCCTGCATACAAGCATAGCTAGAACATGCAAACTTCATGCAGAATTGGAACCAATTACTCCAGTGGTGCATGACAGAAGGGCTAACCACTAAGCCTTTGTTTCGCCCTTTCTTTAACCACTTGCCTACTGGGCACTGTTACTCCTTTCCTGCCCAGGCCAATTTTCAACTTTCAGTGCTCTCACACTTTGAATGAAAATTACTCAGTCATGCAACACTGTACCCAAACAAAATTCTTTAAATTATTTTCACACAAATAGAGCTTTCTTCTGGTGGTAATTAATAACCACTGGGTTTTTTTTTGTGATATAAGCTAAAAAAGAGTGAACATTTTGAAAAAAAAAAACCCACCTTTTGTAGTTTCTATTATAAAATTTTGCAAATAAGTAATTTTTCTTCATAAATTTAAGCCAAGATGTATACTGCTACATATCTTTGGTAAAATTAAACTAAAACAGTTTATATTACTTAGTCTATAGAGTCTATAAGCTATGCTACATATAATTGAAATCAATCCTGATTTACTGACTGCCTCATTTCTTGAGGCCCTAAAATGCCAGTACAGTACAAATACCCCTCAAATGACCCCTTTTTGGAAAGTAGACAATCCAGGGTATTTATTAAGAGGCATGGTGAGTTTTTAAAGTTGTAATTTTTTTCCCACAATTTTTGGAAAATTTAGAAATTAAATATTTTTTTCACATGAAATATTAACAAGGTATTTCTCACACATGGCATAGGTATACTTGCGATTAGACCCCAAAACACATTCTACTACTCCTCTTGAGTAAGAGCACACCACATGTGTGAGACTTTTACACAGCCTGGCCACAGAGATCCTACATCCAAGGAGCACCTTCAGGAATTCTGGGGGCATTAACTACACATCTAATTTCCTGACTACTTATCACATTTTTGAAGGCCCTTGAGCACCAGGCCAATGGAATTACTCACAAAATGACCCCATTTTGGAAAGCAAACACCCCAGTGTATTTTCTATGAGGCATAATGAGTCTTTTGAACATGTCATATTTTTTCACAAGTTTTTGGAAAATGTATAAGCTATTTAAAAGGTGTTTCAAACACATAACATGTACATACCAAGAATTACACCCAAAAGTACATTCTGCTACTCCTCCTTAGTATGGCATTACCACATTACCACAGCATGGCCACATCCAGAGGCCTGACATCCAACTGACACCTTCAGGCTTCTAACAAAGAATGGACATACCAAGAATTACACCCCAAAACACATTCTGCTGAGCAAAGGGTAGACAAAAGATCACCTGTGGTTTTGGTTGTGCAGTTATCTACAGAGGAGAGCTTTGGTCCAGAGAGCAGGCAGGGACATGGTCAGCGACAGTGAAAGGAATCGTCTAGGCAGCAGGCAGGAGTACTGTCCATAGTCAGTACAGGCAGCAGGCAGAGATATTGTCAGCAACAGCCAAAGGAATTGTCCACGCAGCAGCCAGAGACATGGTCAGCTCAGCAAAATTATTAGTACTGGCATTAGGTAGGAACATGGTCCATAAGCGGGCCAGAGTCAGTACAGGTAGCTGGCAGAGGTGTGGTCAGCTCAGGCAGCAGGCAAAGGCATGATCAATTAACAGGCCAGGGATAGTCAGCAGCTGGCATAAATATCAGGCCTAGGGTCTCGGTCAGTTAAGACCTTGACACAGGGGTAAAGGCTTCTTCCCACACAAATTTCTTTAAAGCCTCCACTCTCCAGACCCTAATCCAAGAATTAAAAAACTCAGAGAAAACCAAAACATAGTTTTCTACATTCGGAAAGACTGTGCTATCTTAAATCCCACAACTACAATAGCAGGGAAAAAGATCAGTCCAAGCGGCAGGCAAAAAAGTAGTCCATTAACAGACTGTGGTCAGTTCAGGTGGAAGGCAGAAACATGTTTGATAAACAATCTAGGGGGCAGGCAGAAGCATTGTCAATAAACAGGCCAGAGTTAGTTCAGGTGGCAGGCAGAGGCATGGACAGTTTAGGCAGCGGTCAGAGGCGTGATCAAATAACAGGCAAGGGTCTGTTCAGGTGGCAGGCAGAGGCATGTCTAGTTTATTCAGCAGGCAGAGGCATGACTGAATAACAGGCCAGGGTCTGTTCCGGTGGCAGGCAGAGTTATGCTCAGTTTAGACAGCAGACAGAGGCATGGTCGAATAACAGGCCAGAGTCAGTTCAGGAACAAGCAGAAGCATGATGATTGTGAAAGCAAATGGTCAGCACATTAGATGGACATTAAATAGCAGGAAGTCAGAATTACGTTCACCATACTTCACTAATGTTGTCATCATCATGGTAATAGAAGAAGCAGTCTCCTATGCATAGGCCTGGTTGAGAAGGACAACGGGGGACAATAATAAATGGTATCTCGTCTAATTCCCCCTCTGGAGCATGACCACCTTTTTTTTTTTACATCTTGGGCCTGTTTCTCTGGGAGGGACTTTATCTGGAAACTGATGATCGTGGAGACTACTCACTGCATTTGAGTGAATGCTTTCTGGTGGGCGTTCCTGGTACACAGGGGCAGTGACGACTTCCTCCTCATATCTGAGAAAGGGTTCAGGTCTTTCAGTGGATTTACGGTAGATAACATGAGAATTATAAATTGCCAAATTGAAAATATGAATGGAGACTTTCTTGTACCAGAGGTGGGTTCTTCCTGTTGCAAGATATAGCTGGATCATCTGATCACTATAATCGACTTCCCCTATGAACATGTTTGTACTCGTGCACACATTCGGGTTTCTGGACTGGGCCATTCCTTTTGTGGATTTCCACAGAGGTGTCATTGTGGATTGAAGAAAGTATATATACATCTTGTTCATTCTGCAAAACTCACCAACTCCCCTCTTTGTAGGTTTAATTTTACCAGCCTCTGCGGGAAGCCCTTCCTATTAGTTCTTACTGTTCTACATGATAGTGCAGCTTTTCTCAACTTTTTCAACACAGATGAACCCTTGAAATGACTTTTTGGTCTTGGAGAACCCCTGCCAAAAATTACTGTATCTACAGCTCATGATACATTCCTTTGATGTCAGTGGGATGACTGTTCCTTACACTTGTGGTCATTGAGAAGAATTACCCCCCCCAGATAGATAGCTAAAACTTATAGATAGCTAAAAATATCAATGGTGTCAGCGGGAACCTATTTGAGAGGCTGATATTGCTCATTGCTCAAGGAACCTCTAGCAACCTCTGGAGGAACCCTAGGGTTCCATGGAACCCTTCCTGAGAAACCCTGTGCTAGTGTTTGCTTCTGTTAAAGATTGCAGAAAAGGGGCAGGCTGATGTAACAGTTATCGTATAACATATTAACGTATGGATGAAAACCTTATTTGAGGAGTGAGAATACAAGATCCTAAATGATTTTCCCACTGGTTCCAACATAGTATGGACATTCAGGGGGATGCAGCTGGGTGTCCTTTCCTTCATACACTCAGAAGGCATATGTGTACCATGTGGCTCTGTCACTCAGCTGGTACAGTTTCCCCCATATCTGGCCCTTTTACTTTTGAAATGAACTGCTTGATGCCCAGGCTGCCAGTGAAATGGACAAACGATTCATCCACACAGATGTTTTTGTCCAGGATATACAATTTCTCAGAGAAAAAAATTTAAAAGTGCAGAATTTGATAAAGTTTATCATATGCAGGGTCATTTTGGGGAGGGCACTGTATGTTATCACTAAAATGGAGGAACGACATGATTATTTAATATCTAGTTCATAACAAATGAATAAATGGGCATGTGATGGATGGGGTAGATGAACCAATAAGAGTGTAAATCATTTCTTTTGTAAGTCCCATAAAAAAATGTGAGGCCAGAAAATATTTTGAATTCCTCCACTGTTAATCGTTTTTATTCGTATGATGGGCATTGTTTGAATTTCGATTATTGGCGATACATTTAGGGTATAAAGGTTGCACTGGTCCACAATTGAATGTAATAAGTCATTTGTGAAAAATAAATAGCAAAAAAATCAATGGATGCAAATTTTTTTGTTTTGGCCTTAACACTTGACTGTGCAGTAAAAGGAGGGAATATTAGCAGCTCCTGAGTTAGGGGGGAACCATACGGGATTTGCAAGTGCATCCTGCAGACTGGCATGGGCCCTAATCCTTTTCGGTGGATGTGTCACCCCACTAGTACCTGGCCTTTCATGCAGAGGTACTGCACTACTGGTGGATGCCACTACACTACTGGTGGTTACCTGCACCTCGCCAGAACTCCTAATTAATTCATTCTCTGATTCTGTTACAGACCCACTACTTAACACTGGTTCGTATTCTGAATCAGAATCAGACACAGAGAGCTCCCCGCTGCTCTCATCGGTCATACTGAGGATCTGAAATGCCTCCTTGCTGGTAAAGATTTTTTTAGACATAGTGGTGACACACTGCTGTGTTGAGGACACTGGGACAGATGTGGCTGCACTGATGAGGATGCCCTGAGGTTGCACTGATGGGCGCTGATGTGGCTGTAATAATGAGTGCTGATAAGGTTGCTCTGATGAGTGTTGATGAGGCTGCACTGATGGGTGCTGATGAGGCTGATCTGATGGCTACTGATGAGGCATCACTGATGAGTGCTGATGAGGCTGCTCTGATAGGTGTTAATGAGGCTGCACTGATGTGCGCTGATGTGCACTGATGAGACTGCACTAATTGGTGCTGATGAGGCTGCTCTGATGGGTGCTGATCTGCGCCAATGTGCACTGATGATGTTGCACAGATGGGTGCTGATGAGGCTGCTCTGATGGGTGCTGATGAGGCTGCTCTGATGTGTGCAGATGTGCACTGATGAGGCTGCACTGATGGGCATTGATGAGGCTGAAGTGATGAGCACTGATGTGTACTAATGAGATTGCACTGATGTGCACTAATAAGGGTGCACTGATGAAGCTTCACTGATGGGCACTGATTTGCACTGATGAGGTTGCACTGATGTGCATTAATGAGGCTGCACTGATATGCACTGATGGGCTCTAATGAGGTAGCACTGATAAGCTACACTGATTTGCACTGATAAGCTACACTGGTGTGTACTGATGAGGCTGCTCTGATAGGTGTTAATGAGGCTGCACTGATGTGCGCTGCTGATGTGCACTGATGAGACTGCACTAATTGGTGCTGATGAGGCTGCTCTGATGGGTGCTGATCTGAATGTGCACTGATGATGTTGCACAGATGGGTGCTGGAGGCTGCTCTGATGGGTGCTGATGAGGCTGCTCTGATGTGTGCAGATGTGCACTGATGAGGCTGCTCTGATATGTGCAGATGTGCACTGATGAGGCTGCACTGATGGGCATTGATGAGGCTGAAGTGATGAGCACTGATGTGTACTAATGAGATTGCACTGATGTGCACTAATAAGGGTGCACTGATGAAGCTTCACTGATGGGCACTGATTTGCACTGATGAGGTTGCACTGATGTGCATTAATGAGGCTGCACTGATATGCACTGATGGGCTCTGATGAGGTAGCACTGATAAGCTACACTGATTTGCACTGATAAGCTACACTGGTGTGTGTACTGATGAGGCAGCATCGATGGGCCAATGAGCCAAATAGAAAATAATACAGAAATAAAGGGTATTCTAGGGTGACCCACCGATATCTTTCTCTCTCTCTCTCTGTCTCTCTCTGTATATATATATATATATATATATATATATATATATATATGCCAAAAACCAACTTCACAAATATTAATTAATTATAAAAAGTTGTTCTGTCACTTTTATTAAACATACATTAAAAACACACATGTGCACAGCTCATCAGTAAAAAATATAAACTGTTCATAATGTTGAGTTACACTTGTTTGTTGACACATTTAGTGATGATTACCGCTTGTTCAAAACGTTAAACTGAGGTATGAAAGATATCCATTAAATATAAAAACTATATGGATTGTGCTAAGGTGCAATCGAATCCATCCGGACTGCGGGGAGGCATAAAGAAGGGTCCTTTGATGAAAAGGAGACAGACCGAGTTCTCCAATTCTCTAGAATCTGACATAGAATGTAGCTTAGATCAAGTATCCAAAGACTGGTTATATTCAAACAAATGGCATCATGGTACATTCCCTCTCATCATAGGGTGAAGAGAAGAGGTTAGATGAAACAGAGACCAGACACTGATATGGGAAGGTGTAATCCAGTATTGGAGAGAGATGTATAGTATGCTCCTTGTATGTATCTCCATCTGGCCTTAGTCACAGTATAGTTCTCAGTCCAAAACAACGAATACCCTTTTACTAATGCTGCCATGGATGAAAATCAATGTTTGTATATTGTTCGAAATTATCACAAAATTTTTTTTAGTTTTTCATTTTTTTTCTCATTGGAAGGCCATCCCTGCACTGGTCATCCAAAGACAACAAACAGCGACAGCATAGTTATAATGCTTAAAATTGATCATATTCATGTAGTATTGGGTGTCCAGGCTGAACCAATGTCTGGAGGTGAATTTGTGACTGAGAAGCTGCATTTTAGTAACCTGGGTTCAGGGTGCACATTTGTTGGGTGAAGAGTGATTTTAACTGTTTTTTTTTTGGGGGGGGGTGCAGAGGATGCAGTGAGGTGCTGGGACTTTAAAGGCAGCTCTTGACTAGACTGTCAGCAGCAACTTATTTGGTCTAATTGACACAAAGTTAAAAGTTCTAATTTAAATTTAAAAAATAACATTCTATACGATATAAAGTGCTTTTCCCTGTACATTTAGGGGCTCTTTATTTATTTTACAAGAACCATATCTTCATTATCCAGTAACCATTACCCACTGTATAGGCATTACATTTATGTTATTAACCCATTTACCCCATATTTAACCATTACCCACTGTGTAGGCATTACATCTATGTTATAAACCCATTTGCCCCATATTTTACCATATTTATCCAAACTGCCTCTATGATAATATACCATATGTTCGTTTTGTATTACTTCATTTACCATTTTAACCCATAGTGTATGACTTGGGGAAGTCCTGGACAACCACCTTTGTGCAATCAGTTTCTGAGCCAGAAACAACAATCGATTAAATGCTAACCATCCATACTTTGGAAGTTGCCCTTTATCCAACCACCCCAAAATACACACCCTTTGGTCTCTCAGGATATTAATCCTATATATCTTATTAATCGTATCAATCACCTGTGTCCAGGGGCGGACTGACAACTCATGGGGCCCCCGGGCAATAGGGGATCATGGGGCCCCTGTGTCCTTGCCTACACTCAAAAAAGCCTATAAAAAGGTACCAGGGGCATTTCATGGGGCCCCCTACTGACCCCGGGCCCTCGGGCAGTGCCCGAGTGCTCAAATGGTCAGTCCGCCCCTGCCTGTGTCCAGTATCTGAACAGCTTGGGACATCACCACAACATGTGTAATAGTGTACCCGCTTCCTGCTCACACCGTGGACACAGTGGATCATCTCTTTTATTCCAGTTAAATAATTTTTGTGATGTTCTATACGAACGATGGATAATAAACAACTGAGTAAGTTTCAGAGACTCCGACAGAGACACATGTTCCACATTCTCCAATATACTTAACCAATCCTGATCACTCATCATCTCCATCTCAAATTGCCACTGCCCTCTATATCTTAATAGTGTTGCCTTTGAAGTTTTCTATAATGTCTTATAAATTACTGATATTTGACTTTTCGTTGTAGTTGCCCCTATAACCTTATTCAGCACTATGGGCGTATCATACGTCCACTGTTCAGACCTCGATTGTATCTGTACAGCATGTTTAAGCTGTAAGTATTGATAAAAGCACTTCGTTGGTAAATTGAATTTATCTTGTAAAGTCCAAAACTCCTTCAAAGCTTGACCCTGGCCCTGATATAACTGAGGGATATATTCCAAGCCACATATCTGCCACTGGCCAAATCCCTGTAATTTTGATAATTCCGAGTAATTAAGATTGCCTATGTTTTCTGTATCAATTTATTTGCACTCAGGTCCCAATTTGGAATAGACCCAACAGCAATTTTCCCACAAAGAAACCAACATTACAGTGTAATATATTTCCAGTAAAATTCCCCCCAATTTATTTACCTAGTTTTTAATTATTAGTACTAGTTTGCTTTAAGAGCAGTACCCCACCATCCATTGCAAGATCTTAAAATCAACATTATAGTTCAATATATTTGCATAAAAAAATTCCCCCAAAATATATTTGTGCTCATGAACAAAGTATTTATTCATTTGTTACAGTTCACATTTGAAAAAGACCAGCAATATAATCTTATTAGCAGTAGGCCCCCATTTGAATAGGACCTACAAAGCAATTAAAACATCTAAAAATCAACATTACATTGTTATTTTTATCCAAAAAAAAAGATTACGAAAAAGTGTATTGCCTACATTCCCTGTATTGATTTATTTGTGCTAAATACCCCAATTTGAATAGGACCTCCAACAGCCATTTGTACCTTTTGAAATCAACATTATAGTATCATTTATTTCCTGGAAAACCACCCTAAATATTGTAGTCAGTACTTTCCCAGTATTCATTTATTTGAGCTCAATCCACATTTTAATGAGAATCACTAACTACATTTGTAACTGTGAAATCAGAATTAAAGTTTAAAAAAGACATCTTAAATAATGTAGTAAATAAGTTACCAGGTTTGATTTTTTTTCATACACAAGCCCCAGTTAAAAAGGATCTCAAACAGGCTTTTTAAATATAGAAATAAAATGTATAGTGTCATTTCTGCAGAAAAAAACAAAAGACTGTAGTATTAAATTACTGGCATTTGGTCCCTGTTTGAATAGGAAGTCCAGCAGTCATTTTTAAAGTAGAAATCAACATTACAATTTAATTTATTCCCAGAAAAACACTCCAAATATTGTACTAAGTATGTTCCCAGATTACATTTATTTTGCTTAAACCCCAATTTGAATAGGACCCCAAACAGGCATTTTTAAATGATTGCAGAACATATGCTCAAAACATTATCTTATAGGAAGCAGACTCCATTTTATAATGAAGACTATTGATGGGTACCTGAGTCTATCAATACCTCTTGCAGTGTTACTGAAGTTACTGAAGTGTTCAAACCTTCCTAGGCATACACCCAAGCCAGCAGCTGCCAGATATCTTGATCAAAGTTCTCCTGTATTAGGTTGTTTACAAATAGTTTGTACTCATCATCTGCCTGTGATTAGTAGCTAGAACCAGTTCTCGAACCAGTCTGCCCATTCTCCTCTGATCTCTGACATCAGTAAGGCATTTTGCGGCTCACTGGATATTTTCCCCTTTTCTGACCATTCTCTGTAAATCCTAGAGATGGGTGAAAATCCCAGTAGATCAGCAGTGTGTGTATGTATATACTGTATATAAATATATATATATATATATTTTTTTTTTTTTTAAGGCAATACAAAAATGTTTGTATATGTGTTTTGGTGGTCCTCTAGGACTGTTATTTATATTTTTGTGAAGCAGCCAGAGCAAAATATAAAGGGTATTACAGTGTATTTTAAATGTCCAGTATGAGTGCAGAGGGTCTATACTACACACACACTTTTCCTGTTCTAATAAGATTATGGTCTCTGTGGAGATTTGATTTCAGGAAAATTTACCAGAACCAGTTCCTAATGAGCATAAAATATAAAATTTAGATCCCTATGAGTATAACATTGAAAACCTCTCTTGTAAGTTCCTGACTTCTCCTGGAGATTTTTTATTAGTATACATACTAAACCCAAAGCAAAGATTATGCTGGACCAATACAGTTAAGTATGTACAGAGAAATGCTGGGGTATGGGGTCCATTCAGGTTTTAAATCAAATATATTGTCAGTTTCGCTTACTGCAATAAATCCACAAAAAGATATTTCCTAGAACTTGCGCTTAAAATCTAAATAATCAAAATAATAAAGCAGCTTGCATATTCAACAGGCAAAAACTTAAATAATTAAAAATAAATTGCAGCGCTATCTATACATGCATCTTAAGAGCAAAAAAAGATGAATAATGAATGCACATAAGTGGCTGCAAAGTCCATATGGGATCCACATATGAAGGCAGAAGCTGGTGCATAAAGAATAAAGCCTGATCCAGAAAGAAGACCATCACCTTCCACCCACAAAACTTAACCTCTTACCAAAAGATTGGCCAAAATACGCAGGATATCCAACAGATACAGCACAAGATCCTTTTTTCCTAAATTGAGCCTGTGTTTGTCAGTGTGCTTGGAACAGTGTCTGGGTCTGGTAGCCTCTGAATTAGCAAGGGAGACCTATGGTAATGTATAGCGGCCCCTATAGGGCAGAGCGCCACAATTCTCTTTAAAGTAAAATATAAATGAACCTAGCTTTCAAGCAGGCTATCCCTAATCTCTTCACTCCTTTTCTCTGATCACAAACATGGTCTTTAACACCATTGGGGTATTTGAGTAAAGAAAATATATCATTCTTTATTCCTTGCTATTAGAAACTCAAAAAAAAATAAAGTCCTCAGGTGCAATCATGGATTTTGCTAGAGGATGAAACGTGGAAGACTTGGCATAGCTGCCAACACAACATGGTCACGCTAACGTGCATATGTGGTGTACGGGTGCTGGGGCATGTGCCCATGTGTATGCGCAGAATCGTAACCAAAGCATGACAGATTCTGGCACCCAGTGGCCTATTTAAATACAGCAGTTTGACCTACAAATTGCTGGATGATCCTCAGCCTCCTGCATCCTGTGCCTCTGTGTTGCTGTATTCTTGGATTTTCTGTTCCTGGCCCTACTTGATCTTGGACCTGTCTTGGCTTTTCTCCTGGCTCTGACCTCGGCTTTTTCACATGGACTTCACTTGCTGTCTGCCTACTATGTATGACCCAGGCTTGATGGTGACTATGTTTCTCTTTCTCTTCCTGACTGACCTCCTGTGCAGGAATTTTGTGATTGCTTCTGACTCTGCTTCCTGTTCCACTTATCTGTCAAGATCTGTCTGTATAGCTAGAGTGTAACTTGCCATGCTGATACCACTACACTGTCAAGACTTCAGCTGCTCCCTTAAAGTGTACTTTGCCTTGCTGACATCGCTGCATGGTCAAGTCTTCCTCTGGTACCTCATCTACTCTGATTTTCAGGCAACTACAGAGCTGGCAATCCATGCTTTTTTGGGCGCAGTACTCCCTGTCTCCACTTGCAGGGTTGTTCTGCACTCAGTCGCAAGGGGAGCCCTCTTGTCACTTCAGCCACCACTCAGGTACATGACAGATTAAAGGTAATCCTCAAAATCAAAGTGTATTTATAATTTTTTCTTTTAAGTGAACCCCCCCCTTTACTTTACAGCCATGGAATCTATAATTTTTGCCTCTGATCCTCAGCTTCCATTTTGCTGCCCAAGTGATCAGCTATAATACCAGTCATTTGATGGCCTGATGGTTTGTTTGAGAGCTAACATAAACATATTAGTAACCATAACTATTATCATTCAGTACATGCCTTAGTTCCCTTTTAGGATAGGAGTGGCTACCTCTTGGGGATATTGCCCCAAACCATGGCCTTCCAGCAGCTAACTCTCACCCCCAGAATTGGCAGTCTACCTTCTCTGGCAGCAGCCATAACCCTCACTCTCTTATCTTAATTCCCCGGCTTCCACAAGTCAGTCCCACCCTTGTGTGTGACCTCTGGAATGTCCACTCAGTCTGTAACAAACGTGCCTCTCTCAATGATCTTTTCCTCTCCAACTCCCTCAATCTACTTGCTATTACAGAACCTGGCTCCAGGAATCTGACACTGCCTCTCCAGCTGCCTTCTCCTATGGTGGCCTCCTCTGGACTCACTCACCCAGACCCAGCAGACCAAAAGGATGCATAGGTGGACTTCTCCTCTCCTCAAAAAGCACCTTCAAGGTGATCCCTACACCTTCCTCTCTTTCCCTCTTTTCTTTTGCAGTGCACTGCATTCATATTTTTTCTCCTGTTTGTCTGAGGATTGCAGTAATTTACCAGCCTCCCAGCCCCGTGTCACACTTTCTCAATGATTTCTCTGCATGGCTACCATACTTTCTCTGAAGTACCTTCCATCATCCTCGGGGACTTTAATATTCCAGTCAATGTTAACACCTCAGCCACTTCTCAACTTAACCTTCTCTTTTAATCTAACACAATGGACACAAACCACCACTCACTCCAATGGCAATACCCTGGACCTCGTATTCTCCCTCTTCTGCACTCTCTGCAACCTCTCGAAAACCCCTTTTCCTCCCTCTTATTACAACCTTCTCAGTTTAACACTCTCCCTGTCTCCTACCTCCCATGCCTCCAACCTGCAAACATTTACCCACAGGAACCTTCACCACCTCAACTCTTCCCTTCTTCATCCTGCTACTGACTTT